CACACCCGTTTTGATTACTCACGTTCCATAGCAAAAAAATTTTTTATTATTCAGGAAACAACGGATGATCTCATTTCATGTGGTTAGAATAATACAACGCATCTCTATTTGAGAACCTTCGACTTATTTAGACGTATGACAGAGAGAGAACAAAGGTAAACACGGGACAAGGTTTCTTGATTTCAAATCATTCCAGTGAACAAAGAAAAGAGAGTTTTTTTTTTACTTAGATCGTCTGATGAGCAACATCTACGTGGATACAGTAACCCGTCAAAAGACAATGTAAATAAATGTCTTCCGAAAGCTCACGGAGAGTTGACTCGTCTATCTTTTGGATTTTAATTATATAAGGTGGTGCTAAAGAATTTTAAAAGTTCTTTTTATCGGATTTTGATAAATTGGTCAGGAATGTGTGTGCGTTTGAATGGGAAAGTTGTATATGATTCGGGGCGCGTATTTATTTGTCGCTATATTTAGTTTTTTTTTTTTTCAATCACTCATCCCATACCAGTGAATATTAACTACAGACCTTTGATCACAGCATCCATGCTCTTATTTGGTAAGGTTACATAAATGTCTATATTCTATATTAAAATAGTTTTAGAATTTCTTAGATTAACTATTGTCATTGTTATTAAATTTTGCTAGTATTGATAGCGTTGTTATTCTCTAGCGATTGCTAACCAGTTATTCAAATTTTCCGTATTATTACATTCTATATTTGCCTAATCACTTTATTACTGATAGCAATAAACGTAATGGGGTTCTCTTTCCTTTAATGATGCATTTTTAATATTAATTTTTCTAATTTGCTTACGTTATTAGTAATAACGTAATAGTTTGAAAGTCGCCCGAATTTCTTAGATAAATCATTGTAATTATTATTAATTTTTACTAGTTTTCCCTTCACCTAATTTCATCCTTCAGAAACTAGACGTAAACAAAACCCATTATTGTTTACACTTAGAAATATTAATAGTAGAAGTTATAATCTTAAGCTATTTGAATATTTTGATATAGCATTTTTTATTATTATTTGGTGAGTTTTACTTTCATCTTATAGAATATTGTTCTGAGAGTTGCAAAAAAAAAGGCACTTAGAAATAAGATAAAATACACGTAAAAATGAATAATGCACATTTATTTGCTTCAGCCGGATGAAGAAATCGGCCTCTCTTCTTAAATCTTGCATTAACTGTCCCATTCTTATTCGCCCGTTAACATTCCATAAGATTTCAAACGTCTCCGACAAATTGACCAATCACCTCTTGTTTGTTCATGACATGCGACCAATTGATTTATGCTTTCTGGTTGCGGCTAGGTGTCATGATCGCTGTTGCCCGGATACAAGATTGTTGTGTTTGTCTCGTAACCGTAATGTGACAAGAACGACAAAACCTAATCGACAGTTCTTTCGTTACTATGGAATCGGGGGAAAAAAAAAAGCGAGACTCATTGTTGATCTCACAAATCGCTTATAGTTTTCTTTGTATTTTTTTTCCTTGGTTTAAAAAAAAAAAGGCCTAGTGATTTCTTTAAAATTAATGCAGGAGATCCGGTTTCGATATGTGTCCATTGGCGTTGTAATTTTGTGTAATGAATTTCAGCCAATGGCTGTTTCTCATCCTTAAAAATTCGCACAGAAACATTTGATAAAGAAAATGAAAGCGATATTTTCATAATAGCCAGTCCTCTACATTTTGAGCAAATGTCCCTTAGATATTTTTTGCCACGGGTACAAAATTTCATTAGCGCAATGAAAACAGACATATTCAAAGAGCATTCATAACAACAAAAAAAAGAAGGAACAAAAAACAATACAATGTACATTGGCACAGAAATTTAACAATTAAAAACAGTGTTATGAAAAATCAAGAGTGTTCTCCCCTTGTTTGTTACTATACTCCTTGAGAGATCTATTTCTGTTTACTGGGACTATAAAAGGACACTTTACTGTTTTTGTTTTTCGGTCCTTTCTTATCAGAGCAAAAAGCGAGAACAAAAAAAATGTACAACTCCAGACTCATGTTACATCGTCATCATCATCAAGAAAACCGTTTCGATTTGAGGTCATGAATTAACATGTTTTTCTTATCTTCAGTGACATTGCATATTGATTCGACAATATTTTGCCAGCCTTCTCTGTCCTCTGCGAGTTTGCAGGTTCGTTGCAGATCTTCCTTGATTGTAAACTTCTCCAAAGGAAAAATGGGATCTTTCTGCCTTATTCTTTGAATGTCTCAGTTCAGCGTATCATGACATTGGAAGTTCAATAGCAGTAACTGGAGCAGCCATTACCTTTACCACCAAACAAAAAATATGTTATATGCAAACTAGAAATATAATATTAAAGGGTAATTACCGTTAAGCCCGCCCACCCCTCTTTCTGTTTAGAGAATATACAGAGTCCCTCCCCAAAATCTATACACACTTCAGGAAAGTAAGTTTGTCTTTCGTAGTTTCACCAATTGTGATAATACTCTTTATGGTAGTATTTTCTTGACAGATGGCATTACTCACGTGACTTTACCGTCAGCGAATCATACGGGATGATTTGTATCACAGAAAACTGACTACATTGGCGGCCCTTATATAAGAAATTAAAAATGTATATGCAGCAATCCCACTGGACACTTTGGCCAACTCAACTGAAGCAGTCGTTCACCGTACTAATTGTCTGGAAACTAATGACCACCATTTTGAGCATTTCTTTTGATTATCGACTCCAAAGGTAACTTGTGTTAATCTTGCGATGTTTGAATAAATTTAATAACACAATATCCATATTAGTTTTTAATTTCCTGAAGTGCGTATAGATTATTTTGCCGGACTCTGTATATTAATATGTCTGTTTTTATCGCTGTAATAAAATATGCTTTAATGTTGAACTATAAATATTTTCATGGCAATTGTCCTGCTTAACCTTCCTCCTTAGTATCATAACTGCACGAATTTAAGCGTGCTGCTAGATTGGCAATTAGGTCTCACCGTTTTACTGTTTAACTAGCTAGATGAATCAGTCTGTTTTACTGTAACTGTTTTTTTACTCGCTAGTGGAACTTCCGATTATTTACAATCTGCAAAACTTTAAATGCAACCCCATTCGCTATCTTCTGTCTTCCTTAAACCTGTTCTTTTATTGTCCTTTTTGCACTTTCTCTTTCACTCGAGGTAATCCCATGTTTCTTCGTGGCAATTATCACCTTGCTTGGCTGAAATGATTAAAAAATCATGAACAAAAGAAAAATCTAAACAATTCCTATTTAATGATTTTATTATCCTTATACTCTTCATATACTCATATACAACAATCAAGATCAAGAAAAGACTTGAAGCAACTAAATGTGGCTCTACAGAAAGATGCTGAGGATACCATGGACCGAACATGTGAACACCGACGAAGTTTTAGAGAAAATATAAACAAAATGGAAACTTCTTATCATTAGGAAGAGACAATTGACGTTTCTAGGACACATAATCCGAAAGGGGGGAGTTGGAGAATCTGATACACACAGGACAGATGGAAGGCCAAAAAGATAGAGGAAAACAATGCATAACATAATGAGGAAAGAAAGCTTGGAGAATCTGATACTCACAGAAGAGATTGAAGGAAAGATGTACAGAGGAAAACAATGCATGACATAATGAGTAAAGAGGGCTTGGAGAATCTGATACTCACATGATTGAAAGTAAGTGAGCGAAAAACAGTGCAAGACATACTTAGTGACCTTCCTGTCTTGTGTCGGATATTCTATTTGAATCTTAAAGTTGTAAAGTATATGCTTTCATCGATTGTTGCCTTTTTATTGGTCTTAATGCTTTGGTCGTGGGCTGCTATTAAGAGTAATTATATAGGATGGGCACAAAGTCCGCGAGCAAAATTTATTTTCTGTTTGTATTGAGTCCTGTGTTCTGAACACAGATTTTTTTCTTCACGTTGGTAAACATCTTCCACGTTAATAGACGCAATTTGAGAAAACAATACTTTGTAGCCATTTTCAGTTCTTCAACCTTTCCGAAGCGAATTTTTTCTTTCTTTCCCTAAAAACCAGGGCTAATTATTACAAGCATTGGAGGAGCAAATGTTTTGTTTAATCTCTGTTCAAGATATGCTTCCACAAAAGTTACCACTCGAAAATTCACTTAATCATAGATCAAAGGCGTGCAAACTTTTGTGGAATAACTACTGACGTTTTGAGCCCTCCCTATGCAACTATGCAGCATCCATCTTAATATATATATATATATATATATATATATATATATATATATATATATATATATATATATATATATATATGCTAGAATAATCCTAAGGAGCCAGGCAAACCTACCTAGGTTTCACCTAAACGGATCTTTAGGGTAAAACTGGTTAAAAAGGAAAACAACGGAACAGTATTTATTGATAAAACAAAAAAAACATTACTATGTGACAAAAAAGAGTATTTTATTGTATTCTATTCTAATAACCAGCCTTATATCATATTATTGGTTAATATATATATATATATATATATGTGTGTGTGTGTGTGTGTGTGTGTGTGTGTGTGTGTTGAAATATAGTCTTAAGGTGTGCTATATTTATGGGATAAAGTGGTCAATATCAGAGATAGAGCGTGTGTAAATATAAAAGTGAACATAGAAGTCAAAACGTAAAGGCGACAGTCTGTTTCGTGCTAGACGAGTCGTGGCCTGACGATTGCGTCTAGCATGAAGCAGACTCACCTATAACTTTGCATATATATATATATATATATATATATATATATATATATATATATATATATATATATATATATATATATATATATATATATATATATATATATATATGAATAAATTCAAGAAAATAGAGTGCAGTTAGAACTCAATGTCGAGGACAGAGTAAGAATATAATATAATACAAAAGGCTCAAACATTAATATTCCATGCTTATAATTCATAACATTGGAATCATAACCACAGGTCGCGCGACATATGGCCCTCCTTCATCTCCAGACTGCAATCCTATCTACTATTTTGAGTATTGCCTCTTGTGGAGGGAGATAAGCAGCAGGCCCTACAACACCGAGGAGGCTCACAAGACTACCATCAGGAACGCCATACCCAACATGGATAGGAACACCGTAACCAATGCTTGCACAATCTTCTGGTCCCGCATGGAGAATATGATAGCGGCTGATGATGGCCATATCGAGTTATTAGTATACCTTATAAATGTATTTTACTGTGTATAAAGTTGCAATGGAAATCGCTGTTTGTATTATCCATAAATTTATTTTCAGTATATATATATATATATATATATATATATATATATATATATATATATATATATATATATATATATATATATATATATATATATATAGCGGAGTAATGGATAGCGGACTGAGGAATCGGAGAGCCGAGTTCGAATTCCAGTCGAATCCATGACATTCACATGTATAAGTACAAATAAGTTTACGAATTCCTCGTAGTAAGGAAATATACGCACGCATATATACACGCATGCTGACAGGAACACGCCAAAATAGAAACAGATCCAAGAGCACATAGAGGTCACTAAAACATTAAAAGATTAAATGCCGATAACTACTCGCTGGACAAACCTTAATTGTTTTATGACCCTTCACGCAGAACTCTTCATTGACAATTCTAGAAAGAAAATTCGGATTGCCAACACACAAACAGAATGTCTCATATCGAGAATATTCCACATTGAACATGAAGAAAATTAATTATTTTAATAATATGTAAAATCTCCACTTTCACCTGAAGACGGTTGCGAGACCAGACCAGAAACACGTGTCGTGAAATTATGTAAAACAAAGTATAATATTTTTTCTCAATAAATCCACATTACAACCAAAAACGTTTGCGGCACCCCTCTTCTTTTTAATATACATACTTTTCTCTCGTTGGAACCACTACAACATATTTCTTTTATATATATATATATATACATATGACGAGTACAAACGATTCTTAAAAATCCATTCGGCTATAATTTATTTCAAGAATATACAAATATTTATCTCTTCAGACCAATTTTTTTTAAATAAATGGAGTCAATTTATCCAGACGAAAGGAAAAGGGGGAGGAAAAAAGAAAAAAGAAAAGGTGAAAAATTTGATATTAAAAAGGAAGAAAGAAAAAAGTAAAATTTCAATATAAGTTTTTTAAAAGAATGTTTGGGGAGAAAGAAAGAGGAGAAGAGAGGGGAATGGAGAGAGAACGAGAGAACGAGAGAAGGGGAGAAAGAAAAGGAAAGAAGGAAAAATTAGACATAAGCCGATAGGGTCAGCTAGAAATGATCTTTCGTTCAAGGCTTGAACAAGTTAAAGTACAGTGTAAGGAAGGAATTGATCAGATTTAAAATAGATACATTGAATTGTCTGATATTCATGTTATTTTCGACAGCGAAACAATCACCATCGCATTATAATCATCACCATTTCAAATTATTATTAATAATAATAATAATAATATTTGACAGCAATAAAATAAAGTAAGTTAAATAAATTATTTAAAAATTAAAATATATAAAAAATATACATAAAAATATATACTCTGATTACATTATCCACTAATTATTTTTCGGGCTTATCTGTGCCACACACTATATATATATATATATATATAGATAGATAGATAGATAGATAGATAGATAATAACTAGACTCGTTTCGAAAAACCCTCGAATTTTTGATTTGCTAATCAAATCAATCTCGAGGAAAAAAGGTTTAAAAAAAAAAGAGCTACAAACATGAACTTCTGCCGAAAAAAAATCGCACAGATGCAGGTCTGAAGCCCAAAGAAAAAACCCCGATACGAGTAACAACTAACTAACAAAAGAGCTCAATACAACCGTAGAGCAGACCTAGATACACCTAGTGAGCCAGACAAACCTACCTAGCTTTCACCTAAACGGATCGTCAGGGAAAGTTTGACTATATATATATATATATATATATATATATATATATATATATATATACAGGTGCCTTTTTTTTACCGTAAAGTTAAAAATGCAGGCAATAAAACAGATATATCCTGTGTACGGTGAAGGTGCTTAGCTGACAGAACTCTACGAAATTGGTTCACTAAGTTCAAAGTTGGTGATTGTAGCCTTATTGATGAAGAACTTTCAGACAGACACACACTACAGATGACGACCCGTATTACACGACGTGGGAATTCGCAGGAATACTAAATTTACCAAAATCTACCATCCATGATGACTTAGAGAAGGTTAGGTGCTCAAATCGCTATAATCTTTAGGTACCACATTGTTGTGAATTTCGGGATAAAATCCCGTCTCAAAATGAATGACAAACGCGGGAATGAAATATAGCAAATAAATGTATTGACGTATTAATACAATTGGTAATACGGTTAGTAGATCCAGAAATGCGGTTAGTAGCAATAATAATATATATACAGTCTGGGAAATTCAGTATCGAAGTATGTCTTCCTTCTGATTCTACGTGCTCGCAACTGTGACTCCTACAAAGCGGTTACCTCACTCTCTTACTCTCTCACTGTCTCACTGTATCACCCTTCCGAGTATTCTCCGGTAGCAGTACAAGTACACACTGAGTGAGTCCACTTGTATACAAAGGGGTGGACCCCTTAACACACATGATCTGAGTGAAAAGAATTTTGGGGGTCGCATTTCATCTGTGTTTTTTGTATAAACGTAATGAAAATGTACCCTTTTCGAAGCAAATTGTAACGGGTGATGAAAAATGGATAATGTACAACAATGTTCAGCGAAAAATATCATGACATGAACCAACATTAGCCACCGCAAAAGCAGTCCTTCATCCTAATAAATTCATGCTGTACATCTGGTTGGGTTGGAAAAGGATCATGTACTATAAGCTTCTGTCAAATAACCAGTCAAGTGATTCTGAAAATTGCTGTTCGAAACTAGACGAATTAGAGGCAGCAATTCAAGAAAAACGCCAGAATTGGCAAACAGAAAAGATCTTGTTTACAATCAGGATCGTGCCAGACCACACTTTTCTTTGGCTACCGAGCAAAAATTGTTGCAGCTTAGCAGGGATGGGTTACCCCACCCGTCATATTCACCAGACCTTGCTTCTTCGAATATTCATTTATTCAGATCCTTGCAAAATAATCGCAATGGTAAAAATTAATTCATTGGATGACATAAAAAACAAACACCTGAATGAGTTCTTTATCGAGAAACCACCAAAATTCTGGGAAGATGGAATCTTCAAATTGAAGGAAAAATGGAGAAACGTTATGCAACAATATAGTTCATAAATGTTTCGTTGAAGAAATATTTAATGGTATAATTTGTTTGTCTTTTAATTTCTCTTAAAGACCAAAATGAACTTTCCATATATATATATATATATATATATATATATATATAATGAAAACCAGACCACTTTAAAGTACCTTAAAGTGGTCTGTTTTTCATTAAATATTAGCTCTGGATTTACATTGAGCTCTCAGGATTTCATCCTCCTTGGAATTACCAAGTTCTTCATAACTTAACTATATATATATATATATATATATATATATATATATATATATATATATATATATATTCAATTGCATGGGTATTAGTTTGTAACCCCTGGGTTTCACGCTTTTGCTATCATCATACAAACTGATTTTTTAAAGTAGATCTATTTATGGTTATTCGTGTTTGATTATTTGTTTGTGTTGCAGGGGAGGGGGAAATTTCGTATGTGTTTGCTTTGAATGACACTCTCATATACATAGATACACATGCATACAGGTGTATGCATTTTAGATGGTACAAAAACACCCTGTAAAATAAGCTGAATATGTTAGATCTATCACAGATACTAACCACTTTCCACTACGTACCGCGCATATATAATATATATATATATATATATATATATATATATATATATATATATATATATATATAAAACAAAATTTTATTTCACACTAATCGCAACACATTACACTGCATATGGACATATGGTGATGTTGTTAATATTGCTTCTTTTCGTGGCATAACGTCATAGAACGACATCTTGAACTTAGGAACTGCGTCTGCCATTCCACGACCGTTATTGTCGCATAGCAATCTTCTATGTCATCGTGACAGAATATCATCTTTGATGATGAATATCTTTATTTAAATGTCCGTATAACCACTCTGAATGTTGGCTTAGGTCAAGGAACAGCTTTAATAAAAAAAACTATCCAAATGTTAGTCAATTTTTGTCTTTATTTTCTCCCGAAATTAAACCAACCATACGAAGCTTAGAACGGCTCATGATCGAACATAATGGACATTCATTGTCTGTTATATTCAGCAATATATGTTTAAATATACATATATATATATATATATATATATATATATATATATATATATGTTATATTCAGCAATATATGTTTAAATATATACATACATATATATATATATATATATATAGATATATATAGAGAGATAGATAGATAGATATACATATACATATATATATATACATATATATATATATATATATATATATATATATATATAAATATATATATATATATATATATATGTGTGTGTGTGTGTGTGTATTCTGTGGATTTATGCAGTAAATGTTCTTTTGGCAAGATTTTGAATATCTTATATAATCATCACGGTAAGTAGAGATAAATTATGACTTTCCTAGTACTGATCTGTGTAGTAACATAGTGACAGGTATGTGCATGTGTAACATGTGTGATATGTGTGTGATGTGTGTGTGTGTGTGTGTGTGATGTGTGTGTGTGTGATGTGTGATGTGTGTGTGATGTGTGTGTGATGTGTGTGTGTGATGTGTGATGTGTGTGTGTGTGTGTGTGTGTGTGTGTGTGTGTGTGTGTGTGTGTGTGTGTGTGTGTGTGTGTGTGATGTGTGTGTGTGTGTGTGTGTTGTGTGTGTGTGATGTGTGTTGTGTGTGTGTGTGTGTGTGATGTGTGATGTGTGTGTGTGTGTGTGTGTGATGTGTGTGTGTGTGTGTGTGTGTGTGTGTGTGTGTGTGATGTGTGTGTGTGTGTGTGTGTGTGTGTGTGTGTGTGTGTGTGTGTGTGTGTGTGTGTTTGTTTTTTTTTTTATTTGAGGATCCGGGCTATTAAACTATTTTTTTCTTTATAAATGATTGTTTTTGTTGCATGAATATCGTTTCGAGTATCGTAAG